GTAGCAATAACAATGGTCCACTTTGGTATCGTGCAAGGGTGCACAATGTTGCGTGACAAGGAGCGTCATCTTAACTTTCACAAAAGCCAAAGTATTTAGTACAGCAAATAATATGGTAACTTTTTAAAGGTTTGATATACATCTAGATTGTTTGTGAGGTTAGTTGAAAGGCAGATACATCAAAGTTTTGAAAGTTAGATTAATATGTGAATCGATATGTGAAAGTGATTCTTTTGTACTAGAAAATACGAAGTTTGTCATGTAAAAGAATCTAGCCCAAGCCGTTGAAATCATTCTTTTAGAACTACTGGGCATTTTAGTCTTTTATTTGAAATCAAAATATAGACAATTTCTATTGGTATTAGCCGCAAGCCACATTCACTCAGCATTGACATCAGGTCTTTTTTCAAGGTTTTGTTAGTGTTTTGGTGGTATTTTGTTAACGTTAAAAACATAATTCGTCATCAACGACTGACAATGCTTACACGTATGTGACCTTTCATTAAAATTTCCTTCTGAAGGGCAACGTTTTTAGTTTACGGTTTAAAAACCTAAGGGGACACACGACATAAATATGGCAAGTTGTAATCTACGATGAGGGCGACCGAATCTCGAAGATTGTAAATATACAATAATGTAATTGAAAAAGGAACAGCCGTGCGTCCGTCAAACCAATGCATTGTAAAACAGAGCCCAATAGTTGTATAGCATTCAGCCCTGTGCGCCTTAATATCTTTTTCTTACTTCAGTGTGTAACTTCCACAGCTGATCAAATAGGCACAAAAGCACACAAAATGCACACACACACACACACACACAGGCACACACACACACACAAAACACACACACACACACACATACACACACACACACAAAAAAAAAAACCCCACACACACACACATACATACACACACACACACACACACACACACTCACACACACACACACACACACACACACACACACACACAACGGAGCAGGCAGTGTGTTAATTTATAACCGACAGACTATTGAGAATATTGGGGAACTTTGAATAACATCACGTACTGAAAACAAC